CTTTCCAGCATTTCTCGATCCATGGGAACATCGATGTCTTCGCGAAGAGGGCCCTTTTCTCTCAAGTAGGCTATACCGCCTTGATTCACCGTGCAATTTGATTAACGATTTATGGTACAGATGCCATCTTGAGGTCTAAACAAAAATAAGCGCTGGTTCCGTATTGTACGGTGAGGCGGAGCTGGTAAGTCGAGAGTTGGGGTATTCCGGGAGAGTAATGCCACATTCTGAGCAAGCAGAACGGTAATTTTGCCTGTATTGTTTCGGCCACGAGAGAACATACAACTGAACTGTTTTTAACACCCTTACTAAATGCTAGTAAGCTTATTCATTTTTATAGTCCGCAACACCACCGAGGGGATTTCTCTACCCACTATCTGTCTTGATATATATAGAATCGGCTTGATCTCCTGAATATGAATATAGGTCTCCCCCTAAATGGCACTACGTAGTATTGTATAAAAAAACTACTTCCACGTATTCCCCGATTTAAGTGTCCTCTTATCCTTTAATAGGATCATCGGTGGATAATAAAGAGTGAAATATTACCGAATAATATATTTTACGTTCACGTTAAGTCAATAATCAATCCTTCATCGATTTGCTCTTAACCAATAGGAAGGGAAATACATAGATTCAAATCAGAAAAATGAACTGCTGTTGATAGCAATGGCGGGTCAAGCAGACTTGGTTTCAATGAACCACTCCTTAATAAATGCTGACTTGTTATCTAATTACTTATGCATTTGCTTAAAAATCCCGAAATCACATTTGTGTTGAAGTTATAAACTTTTCTAAACTGTGTATTCTATCCACCACTGTCGCTGTATCATCGCTACTAAAGTCGCATGCTGAGGTATCTGAGGCGCAACCGAACTCACCTTCTACGTCACCACTAGCTAGTATATGTTTCTGCAGCTCTAGTAGATTGAGCGAGCCTTGTTAATGCAACCTTGTACCATATTCGGTGTTGAATTGCAAAATGCTATGTCGAACTTCATACGGATATTTGCGAATGTTGTTGATGTCGTGTACTGCCGTACTATCTGACCCTCTATATTCACCCAATCGTACTAGATAGGTTGAAGGTCAGAATGATGCGGTGGTGGTGGTGGGGGGATATTACCTCGTGACCAGCGTCCCTCACAATGCTCACTTCGACGAGAACGACGTTTTCCTGTATTTAACTCTCCAGTCTACTCCACAATATCGTGTTCGTATCCTAGTCCGCGTACGCGATACCGTAGCGTCTTGAGGCCTCCCGGAGCTTCTTCTTCAACACTCATATGGGCGGGGCCTCCAACCATAAACGATTGACCAACTCTTCGCCGAACAAGTCGTGGTTGACGGCATACATTCAAAAAGGACTTACAGATCTCAGTAAGGGTTGTTTTGAGAATTCGATGCTTCCTTTTAAGCTTTATATAATGAATTAATTATTTTTGTAGGATGGTCGTGGGACAAAACGATATTATAGCTCAGCTACTTGTGAGAGTTAAGTCTTACAAACTAGACCCCAATTACGCAACTCAAGTTATAGCTGCCACATATGACCATTTGAGACACTTCGCCCCACCTTACCATCCCGAGCTCTAGCTGATGAAAAACCACATCGCTGGGAAACCTGCGTTAAGCGCTAAAAAGCTCGGCGCAAAAGTAGATGAAGAGTTTGCAAAGGTGACAGATGACCACTGGACCAAATATTACCGACATTTCCACAACAATTGCGAACCAATACTCCGCTGCGTTGGACGACTGCTGCCTTGTGAGTTATGATGAAGAGGGCAATGGCAATGATGGTGGTGACGCAGAAGGCAACACCTTTGGCAGCAGTGACGATAAAGAAGCAGACGAACTAGCCGTAATCTGCTCTTTTTAACATACACCTGACACGTAATCAATTGGTGCTTTCTGCTGTATCTTATTCGGTGGCCGCTGGTAATAATGACAGCTGTTTGTGGATCCAACCAATCACCGGCTATCATTTTATGAATAATGCACAGCGCAATTTCAGACCGATGCTGAACTTCAGAAAAGCCTCAACTACAACCAAGATACTGCGAATTACGCAGTTTTGACTGCTGAAACGGGCGTAAAACCACTTTTTTCACCTTATATTGTGTCGGGTTGGCGCGTATGTATGTTGAAGCTTGTATACAGCATAAAAAAGTGTTGTATCTGAACCGTGGTCGGGACAATAGAGTCGAGTCGTTTTGCTGATATATAACTGACCCCGACCTAGAGTCTGTATGGCACTTTAACTGGAATTTCGATGATTTCCCTTTGTAAGACAAAATGAACGGCTCTCAAAAGTGTGGGGTTTTCTTCTGGAGATCAATTCAGCAGATAGAACAAACGAGTCCTCAGTTTTGACTTGCTTAATTTGTTTTGATATATTCTCATTCTAAGCGATAAAACGAACGACTCGTAAGTTTTGGCTTGCTAAAAAGAAGCGGTAATAAATTAATAAAAATGAATCTGTGTTTGTCGAGGAGATCATGACCTACTTATAAATAGATACAACCGATTTCTTACGTTTTGGAAAAGTAACTTCAAGCTACTTATATTATGTAATTCCTTTACAATGGAGCGAAGTATTCCATTAAACATTTGCGCCTAAATTGCTGCGCACAGTTCCGAGCCATTCACCAGCGGTCGGAAAAACCAATGGCCATTCTTACGAGATAAACGATGGTGGTATATTTGATCCGAAGCTAATTGGCTGAGCATAAGCGTAGATACATAGGAAGAAGGAGCTACTGGTGTGAAAGAAGCTGGATCGCACATGCGAACTTGTTAAACGCACCCAACAATAACATAAGTAAAAGGTAAATGCGCAAACCTCTACACACAAGTGCACGATCCCAATGACGTAACATTAAAAAGACGCCGAAGTCATTAGGAACGCTCGCCTTCGCTCCAAGGCCAGTCCATTCATTACAAAACAACAACGGCTAGGACACTTCAGATTGCAAGGCGCCGCGCCCTACGGAGGGCATTGCTTCTACGACTCGCCCACCTCGCATCGATACTTCATCCACCGCGGGCGTACTCAACTCAGACGCAGACGTAGATCTTCAGGAGACAGTGGACGAGCCCCTGCGAAACGGAGAGGGTGTCGAGCCCCCGCGAACACATCTGAATCCTAACACGTGGCACCCCCGCTTCTTGTGGCGCTCTGTATTTGCAGCAGCACTGCAGCGAAAATCTGCAAACAAGAAGGTATTCGGTTTTGTTAATATGATTGGACATCCAGATTTGGCCAGATTATGGAACGACGGTTATGTCGTTGATGATATTGACGCCAAAATCTACAAGCCTTGAAAATACATCCAGTCACTTGCTTGTAAAGAAATACCAATTCACATGGCGACACGTAACTCGAAAGATATTTGCTTCATCGATTCGTAAACTAACAATCGAAAGCTACTAGTTAGGACTTGTCTACAGTATTTTTCGTGTGGTGTTAACTGCACGCAAAAAAAAAACTTTATAACATGGAATTTAAGCAGGCGAAACTTGAGCTCCTAACGAGTTCATTTTTCAAAGCTTCGCCATTTAGAAACGCTAGGAGAAAAAAAACCATCTTGTTGATGAGCTAAAAACCGCTGTTCTTCGCAATCATTCAGATTCACGGGATCGCACACCAGACTCTGTAATTAGCATCCCAAACAGTAGTTTTTTTCACTTGTTTAATTGAAATATGTCAAATCAGTGTTCGAATCTGAATAATTTTAGACAATCGTCCAAGGCTTAATTTTAGAAGTAATATTTACTTAGTGCTTTGCTACAATTAGAGAGCGTCATGTAAATGGTGTTTTGCCCCATTTTGAACCGCTGCTACGTTTCACGTTAGTGATGTCGGCGACGCCTGTAGCGTGGGCTAAAGCCTCAGCGTTTGGCACCTACAGTAGGGAGTGGCTAAGATGCGTGCAAGGCGCTCAGCCACGATGGCGATCATGGTGCTGGAAGGCGGTCGACCACGCCTTGCCTTAGACTGGCTGTTGTTATTCTCCTTGAATGTAATTAGAGCCCGCTACCGGCGACACCCATACTTAGCTGCAGCTGCCACACCTACTCCACGCTTTAGCCGTCCATTACGAGAACAATCAACGAGGAACAGCGCAATCGACTCGCGCGTGGCTTCAGGGACGTCCTTTGTGCCCTTCGTCCGGCACATCGTGAAATGGTAGCGTTATTTTACGGTAGTTGGAGCTCCAGTTTTCCAGTTTATTTTGTCCAATAAAAAATAAGTAGTTAATAAGAGCTCGTATTTCCTTTCCAAACCGGACAAGTACATACTATTCGATATTCCGAGAAGTTTACGCAAAACAGCAGGATGAGTATCGTGCGCAGGCTGATATTGCAGCACTGCATGAATCTGTCAAGGATATCGAGATGCGTATCAACAGATTAATTATAGCTACTGCTCCGAGTGGAAGGTCGCTGGTGGCCCTTGGTACGCACTCAAATTACTCCACGGTGGAGAGGACCCGGCGGTTCAAAACGATTTTCCTAAATTAGAGACTGCGCATACTCAAATGAAGAAGTTGTGGTTCCAGCATCAGTGATCGTGGCATTTATGGATGAAACACTTCTACATGTGTACCCAGGGTGTTTCGGGACAACTGTAGAGAAGTCTAATAGGAAGACAATTCGCCGCCATAAAGGCGAAATTATAAATTCTGTGGAGATCGCGCTCTTACTGGTGCCAACTATTTGGATATCAATATTCGCTTGCAGTGCTACGTTAGGTGAGAGAAATAATGCAGCAACCCAACTCGACAGAATATGCGGTATACAATTCCTACATGTGCGCGAAATGCGGTGAGCGTCTATTTAGCGTCTAGAATTGGCAGTACATCGACGCAATTGCTCGGTTGGTTGTAATATCAAGTTTTCGTATTGTACGACGACGTTCAACAAGCCCAGTTCCTTGCTTGTACAAAAAAAAACCGTTGCGGGCATCGCCCGAAAGATTAAGCGTGGAAGAATTTGACATGCGCAGTAGCAGGAAGGGCAGCCTTAATGACGAGAGCGAGGTGGATAGTACGATGGACAGTGAAGACGATAATGTAGAGGATAGCAATGACGAGAGCGAGGAAGGCAGTGCAGAGGGTAGTGAAGAGGAAAATGCAGAGGAGAGTGTAGAGGAGACAGAGGAATACATGGGAGGCCAGATCTAGGACAATTAACAGACACATGACAATCTTTCCTTTGGTGACAGGACGAATTTTACCTTGGTGACAAACATAGATTGATTAGACATTCTTGCTTAGTTCTTAGTACATTGTGAACACCAAAAACTGACATAGCACGTTAAGGTCTCAATTTCTGAACCTAAAAATACATACGCGTGAGAATTGTAGCCCAGGTCCACAAAATAGACGCTCGGGTTACGTGTCTGGACAAAGTGTGGTGGAGTGGGGTTCGCAAAATCGCGTTGCGATCCACTCGGACACACAGTGCCCTGGATTGCCGACTGAC